GAGGGGAGGAGGTAGCTGTCTGGGTAAGCTGTGATCGGTGACCATGAGGCTCAGTGCCAGGGGTGCCAATCTGAGCCTAGGCCGCTGCATGCCTTTTCTTTTGGCCTTAGCATGACTGACTTTCTTGTGGTGAGGGGCTATGTAATTTATGCTGTTCTAACGATAATATTTTATGCCAACAGCCCAAGAGGCTTGGCTGGGTGCTCCTCTACACTTTTACATCCATCAGCCTCCTATAACACTTGTATCTATTTTGCAGTAGCTTCTAAAATGATAGGAATGAGCCTAGAGTATTGAACCAGGCTCTGAAGGCCTGCCCTGGCAAAACAGAGCAAGGCCACAACATTGACCCTTTATTTACAAGGGAAACAATGAACTCTTGCTGAGCATAGACTGTTGTGGGCCAGGATGTGTCATAGGTGCTTTTAGAGCTGTTATCTTAAAGTAGGAAGAAACTAGCCAATGTCCAGATCTGATAAAGCCGAGGGGAAGAGCTGAGGGAACTATTTCTTTTGCCTCAGAGACCAACCCACCAAAGGCAATGTTACTGGGAGGCTAAGGGACCACCATCAGTGACCCATGTGTGCTGGCGCAGAACCCAACGTGCTGGTTAAGAGCACATCCCAAACACCTAGCTCCCCACACCTTGTAATCTTGGGGAGTTACTTAACCTTTCTTTGACCGAGTTTCTACCTCTGTAAGATATGTTCATTATACCAACTCAGGGTCATTCTGAGTAAATAAATGTTTGCAAAGTGTTTAGAACCGTGCCTGGCACATGCTAAGTGTTTGCTAAACAGAAAACAAATTATTTAAAATGTCATCATTTGCAGGAAAAAATAGGATATCTACTGTGCTTGGCCCTTGGGAAAATCAAAGATGATGGCTTTTCAAAAAAGCATAGCAGCCCCTCCCTTGATTTCCTGTTGACCATGTGCTGGAAGCCTTGGTATGCTATTTCCCGACTTAAGGGACAACTTTGTATCCCAACCCTTGTGTACAGATAAGGGGCCTAGGCAGAAGGAGGCAAAGGAGCTCCCCTGGTGCCACAGCCAGAAGCAGCAGAGCTGAAACTGGAACTCCCATTGTCTGACCAATAAAGGCAGCCCCACTGAGGTTCCAGGGATGCAAGGCTCCCAGACTCACCCACTGCCAAAATCTCCTTGCACTTGGCACACTGGTCCTTCATCCTCAGGCATCCCGTAGAGTTGTGACGGATCTCCTTGCACACAGAGCGGTTACTGTCTTCTGGAGACACATGGGGGAAGAGGGAGTCATGCTGAGGGATCATACAGAGCAATACAGTGATGGGCCGCCCCGATCTCACTGACCCCTTCCATACTGCTGTTTGGCCCATTCAGATGGTTCTGTATGCAGAGGAGGTTGAAACTGGCCTGCAGACACAGGCCTCTGATTGGGGCTCTCTGCAGGAGTAGGAGGTGGTTCCCGGGGTTTCCCTAGCTGGGTATGGCCTCCCCTCCCACCATCTCCCCAGATGAGCCCTCTCTTGCCTCCACACCTCCCTAACTATTTGCACCTCTCTTTGGCATCATTACTCATTTTGCTCTGCATTTTACCTAACTCATTTCTCTCCCCCTAGCCAGTCAGTAAGCCCCTTGAAGGCCTCTTACAACCAGTCAGCAAGCCCCTTACAGCTACCTTATAACAGAGGGCTCCCCCCATTATGGATATGCAGTAGATGCTGTTTCAATTCAACACCCTCCTCTATTTCCAAATCATTTGAAACCAAACCCCAGTGCCAATCAAATGACAGCATTTAGGAGATGGTGTTGGCCAACCAATGTCTATTGGTTCAATGAAGAAAATCACTTGTGAAAGTATTGGCTTTTCATGTCCATATTAGGCTTCACTCATTCAAAAAATATTCATTGCATGCCCATTCTCTACCAGGCCCTAAGTTTACAGCCATGAACAGCTTTCTTAAGATTATATAATTCGTCCACAGAAAGCCACTTGAGTTCCTAAGAGAAAGGGGTCTGGTTCTCTAGAGGGAGGAGTCAATGTGATGCCCACCAGTTGCTGGAAGGGGCATGGTAAACTCCAATCCTGCAAGGGCTAGATTTGACCAGGTCCCATTTTATCAGCTGCAAAACCTTGGATGGACTCCTTTTTCTTTCTGTCACTGTTTTCTCCTCCTTAAATGGGGTTAATATCACCCTCATAAGGGTGCTGGGGGGAAATCAAGATGACACATGCCAAGTTCCAGAATAGTTCTTAGCATCTAATGGGGTTCTTAACCAATTGTTAGTTTCTATCCCTTCTTAGGAGGAATAAGACATCTTTCTAACCTGCTGTTAATTCCTCCATTGGGAGTTCGAAGAAAGATCCATGGAATTGGCCATCCATGGCCTGTTGAGCCTGGTTTAGCATGTCTAAGAGGGGCTGGAACAAATTCTGGAAGTCCAGGGGTCCATACATGGGGAAAGGCATTAAGTTCCGGGCAAAGCGGGTCTTGGGATGGAAGTGGAAAGGCCTCCCTGAGGACAAGCCTAAGGATGAAAAGTGGTAGGGATCCAGGACTTCCCGGGTGAAGAATCTGTTGTGGAAAAGTTCATCCATAATACGGGACACCCTGCTGAATCTGTCCTCCATGGCGTCTAATACGTGGGCCTGCTGTCGGTCATTCTCCAGCAGGGAGTCGATGCGGTCACCGTTCATCCAGAAGTAGAAGGGAGAGCTCTGGTTCAGGAACTCCTCCAGCTGTGACAGGCAGAACGGGGAACAGTTAGGACAAGCTCACTAGAGTCCCAACCTCCTGCATCTCCCTCTTGTTGAGATAGGCCAGGCCCAGCTCCTCACGACACTTGGGTCTCCTCAATCACACAGCATGTGACTGAAGGCCCCACTGAGACTGGCTCCCTGGTTTCTGAACTGTCAGGCCATTACCCTTCCATTCTATCCATCCCAACAGAGAAGAGTTTAGGAAGACCAGTGAGGCCGTGAGAGTCACACAGTCCATCACTTGAGACTAATCTGCTGTCTTCTTTGACCACTAATGATCCCCACCCCTGCTCGGCCAAGGACCAATTGATATGTCTTCGATGAGTAGCAAAATTCATGAGTCCTAATTATCAAGGCCCACAGGGAGGAACGCGATCAACAATGTACTAAAAATTCTTAATTTCTTCTGCCTAAGTGGACACAGGGCTCTGCCATACCATGTAGTTTATGTAATCCAGCTAATAACTGCTAGATTAGAGTCTTCTAAGAGACAGCAAATACCTGGCACAGAAGCTTTTTAGGACTCCATATTTCTGCACTCATAGCAGACATTACCTATTGATAATGGCACTCTGGGCCCAAATGCAGCCAGAACTAATCAAGTGCATCTGTGAAATGAAGCTGTGGTATTTTAATTGTAATAAGAAATATACATTTGGTCTTTGACCCTTCCTAACAAAGAGCTCCTAAAACCCTTTGAATTTCCTATGATGAGAACAATAAGGGTGTCTTTTATGATGTTAATGAGGTGACTTTTGGAAAACACTTAAGGATGGAGACTGGTTGCTAGGGAAACCAACCTTGGTCAGAAGGTTTGAACTTTTAGTCCCACACTGATTTCTGGGGATGGGAAAGAAGCTGGAGGTTGAATCAACCTCCAATGGCCAATGATTTCATCAATCATGCTTACGTTAACGAAACCTCTGTGAAAGCCCCAAAGGACAAGATTCAGAGAGTTTGTGGGGTTGTCGAACACATCAAGATTTGGAGAGAGTGGTGCACCTGGAGAGCGCATGGGAGCCAACTGCCCCTTTCCCATACTTTGCCCCGTGCATCTCTTCCATTTGGCTGTTCCTTTTATAATAAACCTGTAATCTAAGAAATACAAGGTTTCTCTGAGTTCCTGCTCTAGCAAATTAATTAAAGAGGGGTTGTTGGAACCTCCAATCTATAGTGCAACAGTCAACAGCACAGGTGACAACCTGCACTTGTGATTAGTATCTGAAGGAGGTGGGGGGCAGTCTTGTGGAACTGAGCCCTTAACCTGTGGGATCTGATGCTATCTCCAGGTAGTGTCAGAATTGAGTTGAACTGCAGGACACCCAGTTGGTGTCCAGAACTCCCACACGCTGGAATTGGGTGCAGAATAACAGAAGCATGTTTCATCGGGGTCTCTTCATTTCCCACTCAGAGCCTAGGCCGCACTCAACAGTGCTTCCCCTTTTCACCTGGTGGCCATCCGGCGCTGAGCTGCTTCTGCAGATGCGAGCATAGAACTTCATGCAGGTCTGTTTCAGGCAGGGCTTACACTCCTCCCAGAGGGCCATCATGGTGTCATTGCACACCTCCTGGGATGCCTTCAGCTTCATTTCAGTATCCTTGGTATCAGTTAGGGCATCCTACAGCAGGCCACGAAGCCAGGTTAGCCGCACAGAAATCACAGGCATCGCCCTTCCCCAGCATGCACATTGGTGCTGGGCTCTCCGCCACCCAGGCAGACCTTCCCACATCTGGCCACACGGTGTGCTAATTTCCACCCTCTGGCTCACTGGTTCCCTCTTTTGCTTACCTGGAATTCCCTGCCCAGCTAGCTTTAAAGATCCTTTCATCTTCAAGACCCAACTGTTCCTTAGTCCTCTCGGGCCACTAGAACCCATGTGGACATCTCCTTCTCTGATACCACGCTTAGAGTCTCTCCCGCAGGATTTCTCTCTCCCCTATACCTCACTTCCTATGCTCAACTTCTGGTGTTTAAATGTCCCCATCCAAAGCCCCTGGAGGGTCCCTGAACCTTAGTTTCTATTGGAACCATGGTCCCTGGCATGCAATGGGAATAGTAAGCTTTGTAAATCAAAGTCACCACAACTACCCAGACTCTAACGTGCCCATGTCATCTGATCCCATAGTTCTATAAGATTCTATGCCAAGGAAATCCTGCAATAAAGGACAAATTCTTATGCCTAAAGATATTTGTTCCCATATGCATTTATGGCAAAAAAGAAAAAAGAAAGAAAGAAAAAGAAAAACTAGAATTAATTCAGATGTAAAACTAAGGGACAAGTTAAGTAAATTGTGGTACATACCCAGGGGAGATAAATACAGCATTACAAGGGACGTTTATAATAAGTTTTAATATTATAGTAAGCATTTTTTCATGTTAAAAATTCATGATTTTTCAAAAAAGTAGTAAGAAATAGATCAAATGTTAGCAATGAGTTGTCTTTAAATATAAGGATTATGAAAAATCTTTTCCTCCTCTACTTTTCTATATAAAAATCTTGATGAATGAGCGTATTAGTCTTCAAAGAAGAATGAAGACACTATGAAGCTCTGACCAGGAGCAGTTCAAGCTATGCCATCTTCGCCCTGCTCTCTGTTCCCTGCTCTGCGCTAGGGAAAGCCACCACCCTTCCTACTGCGCCAACCACAAGCATCGGCCATGCTGGGCACCCCCTTTCTTTCAGGTTCACCTATTCATCAACTAAGAAGTGGAGCCTTTTTCCAAACTTTTATAATAAAGATGAGCTTTATTATAAAATCCAGATTGTAAATGTCAAACTCCAACATTAACCATAAAAATTAAACAACAAGACTTGCCCCTCCCACATGAGCTCCTTGAGCTCATGAGCTCCCTCCCACATGAGCTCCCACATGGTGAGAATTAATACTGATGCCGAGAAAGGGCATAAAGTTTCAAAGAAAGTTAGAGCTGCATCCAGGCCAACATTTCCTTAAGTGGCTCCCATGGAATTGTGCTAAAAGCTATCAGGAAAAATAAAAATGGATTCCCTGTTCAATTTAACAACAACAACAAAAACCTACTGGGTTAAATGAAGTTACATAGATCTCTTCTTTTTTTTTTCTTTTTAAAAATTGCTGACACTATTACAGATAGCCCCCATCCCTCCTTCCCAGCTTTTCCCTACATAGGATTCTTAACTGCAGAACTTTTCAGAGCCTTCAAAATACTTTCATTATGCATCATGGATCATGAAGGTGACAGGTGGTCCCATCTTAGCATCTCCTTCATTAGGGATAGGGTGGCAACAAGAGTAGATTTTTAAGATACCCTTAAGAAGACTATTGATTTAAAAAATAAGTCGTTCATTGAATTATATATCCTGTTTTAGTTTTCTTGAATCATTAAGCACACCTAGAGCCACTATGTTCACTACTGGAGTTAGGTGTCTCTTTACAAAGTAGTCCAGAACTCTAGAGAGACACAGGGCAGTACAGCGTGTGCCCGCCTTAACCCCAAGTTATCATCCCTACTAGGTAAGCTTTACGAAGGTAGGGCACCATCCCCCTCCTACCCTGTGACAGACCCTATCCAAAGCCTACCTTGAGGCTTGCCCATAGTCAGGGTTTGGAAAAATCTATTGAAGTGAATCTGGGTATCAGGCCCTGAGCCAGGCTTATAACAAAAGCAGATCCAAGATCTCACCCTCTGAAACTTTCAAAAGCAAATAAACCCTCCCTATTTCTTAACCACAGTCCCAGTGTTAGGTGGCCCAGCCCTGGCTAGACAGAGGGTCAACCTGGCAACCCAGCAGTCCACCCCATGAGGAGCCAGGACCTATGCCCACCTCCCCTCCAGCAGGGCAAGTCGGAGCCGGCTATGGCCACCTGGCTCTTCCTTACCTCTTTCTTCTTCTTGGCTTCCTCTAAGTTGACGAGCAGTGATTTGCGCTCATCATTTGTATGGTCTATTAGAGACTTTATATGTTTCACCTCCTTGAAGGCATTTTTAATTTCCTTATTAACGTACTTACTCCCCTCAGTGGACATTTCTGCAAGAGAAGGGCAGGGAAGCAGACTGAGGAGAGAGGAAGAGATGGCGCTGGGGATATAACCCTGCAACCGGCTGGAATGGTCAGAAAGGCAGTGGGTCCAGGGGCTGTCCAGGCTGGGAAAGCCCTGGCAGGCAGCCTTCTGGCCCCATCACAGGGCTCATTGTGGACCCAGAGTCTCAGGATCAACTGCACCAGCTGTTCAGAAACACAAACCACTGGAGCAGGCCCACCCCAGAGGAGGGACAGAAGCACTACAGCCCTATGGGCTGATGCCCAAGAAAATTTTCAAGGAAAAAACATCCTGGAAGAGTAACAACTTAAGCATCAAAATAGGAAATATTCTTCTTTTGGATACATGTCTTTCTGGAATTCAGTTTAGCCAAACATCTGAACTTCTTTTCTCCAACTCACAGTGACAGAGACACAAAGATGAATTAATAGCACTGTTCCGCAAGGAGACTGTGACCAGGATGTAACATCGCATGACAAATGCAATGAGACGATGTCACTGAAGTACCAGCTCTGGGCCAAGCGCTGAGCTGGACACTTCACGTGCATTTCCTTTAACATCCTGCATCATCATTGGCCCCATTGCATAGATGGAGAAAAGAGGTGCCGTGAGATCAAGACACCTGCCCAGGGTTACACAGCAGGGGAGCGGTAGGGCCAGACTCATGCCCGGGTCTGATCTCAAAGTTAGGGTTTTTACTATCCAGAGGGCCGGTCAGCTAGTAGGGTGAGAGTGGGCTAGAGGGAGGATGGGTTTTAGGAAAGGCCTGGCAGAAGAGGGGACCGCCAGCTGGGCTCTGAAGGATAAGCCTCATTTTGAATGATAATTCTCCTGCCCTATGAACAGAGAATCTGGAGCATGATTTTCTGGGTGGCAAAGTGGAGATACACGTATTAAATGCTATGGAAACTCAAAAGGGGGAGTCCCACAAAGGCTCAAGTGGTGTGGGTTTTATGGATCTTCGTGGAGGAGGTGTGGGCATCGGACTGCACAGGCTACTGGAAAGGGAACTTGTGAACGAGGCCCAGCAGCCAGAAGAGGCTTTTGACAGACCTGAAAATGCCCAGAAGCCAATCTGATCACAAAGAGCCCAGGCCAGGTGGCCGGGGAGAAGAGGCTCAGAGAGGGGCACGGCAGAGCAAATCCGACTTCACGCACAGCATAAGATGGCCTTTAACCCCTGGGGCCCTGACGGAGGAAGTGTGCAAAGAGGGGCACTCTGGTCTACTTACCCCGGAGCTGTCTCTCTGAGACCTCCGGGTCGCCCAGCACCTGCCCATTGTCCCAGGTCATCAGCAGCCCCACCAACAGCAGTAGAGTCTTCATGTCGCCTCCTCCAGTTCTGGTCTCCTAGCCCGCAAGGTCTGTAGAGAGCAGGACACTGTCATGGTAACAGCTAGACAGCCTGCTGGTTTCCGGCCCAGCCTGCCGCCTGCAGCCGCTTCCCAGGAGCCCTGCAGGGGCCTGGCCGTTAGCTGGCCCCTCTCAGCTGGCATCGCTGCTTTTTTACCCCCAGGGAAGTTGGGAGAAAATATCAGACTTGACAATGAACACTTTCAAAAGAAAGTGGAGGCAGTAGGTACAGGGAGGAACCAGAGGACAGCAGCTTAATACAAAAGAAACAAGAGTTCTAGAGTCAGAGCCTTGGGCTCAGGTCCAAACCTTCCTCCTCCTCCTGCTTAACAGCTAAATATGCCTGAGCAAGGCACACCCACTTTCTGCACCCAGAAAGGGGTCTATCTGGTGATATCTGCTCATATTAAACAAGCCCTGAAAATATCTGTCTCGGATCACTCATCAGGCCCTCTCCTGTCCCTCCACCAGGAGGGGACTGCATCCCAGAGCTCCCTCCCCCACGGGCATCACTAATCCTGCCCACCGCAGGCCTCACCCCAATCACAGCTCTTCTCCTCACTGAGCCTCAGCAACACCTAAAACTGATTTCAAGAGTCAGAGGCACCGACGGCCAACCCTTTGGGTTGGCCCAGGAAAATAAGTCCATTTGTCACCCCTAGTGTGAGACTTGCACCAGGCTGTATGGATTGGGGGTATGAATAAAGAGTAGAGCCAAGAAAGAAAGACAAATGTTCTCAGGAAGTAGACAGGGAAAGGCAGAGTCAAAGGGTTAACGTTGGGATGAAGGGGCACTTGGGCCCTGATGCCTCCCCAGAAGCAGTCCCTCTGGGAAGACATGTGCCTCTGCTCTGCCAGGGCCCTTTCACATGGCCTATTCCCTCTAATCCACAGCAGGGTGCCCTGCCAAGGTGTTCCTGCCACCACTCTGGGCTGGCTGCCCTGAGCCTGAGGACAGCCCAGTCTTACACAATAGACCCTCTTCCAGAAGCTGAAGTTGTTGCATAAAACAGAAACCCCTCCCCCCTGTAATCTGCCCCTGACCAGCTGCTTATCTGAACTCACCCATTTCCCATGACAGAATGGGGAGGTGGGAAGCCCCTTTCCTGAAGTTGTGCACATCCAAAAACTGCTCTCAGCTCAGCAGGCCCATCTGGATGCTTGGTAGAACATTACTAAGGCAAGCCTCTTCATGAAAGTAATTAGTAGGGCAGCCAAGTTGTGGTTCCCAAATCAGCTGCACAAAGCACACTAGCGGCACGGAAGAAAGAATGGATCATCGCCTCCCCCAAAGACAGAGTGGGCAGCTGGGCCAGGGCGCTATTTGAGGCTCGCCAGAAGATCCAGGTCTAACAAGCTCTGCCCTAGCTGCTCACTGAGGCCTGAAATGCCTCAGGCAGGGACAGAGCCTTTGTCACACCAGAAAGAGAAAATATACCAAAGCCAGCAAAATATACCATTCTGGGTGAGGTCCCTGGTAGCAATGACTTCTGAGAAATCCAGAATACAGGGCATTGGGCCCTAAAGAAAGGAGAGGGAGGACAGCCAAAGGCAAGAGCACTAGATGAGGAGTCCAGAAACCCAGCAGCCAGTGCAAGGTCTCCCATCAGGAGCCTGGGGTTCATGGGGAGCTATCTGCCTCAGAGCCAGGAAAGAGATCAGTATTCTGCTCAATCCCTCCGCTCCAGATGCCGAACCCAGAGACAGGATGGGGGTCCCCAAGGCCCACAGCAAGCTCGGGGCACCCCTAGGATGAGAACCCAGCTCTCCTCATCCTCTAGTCCAGTGTTCTTTCCTTGACACAAAGTCACTTAAGTCTCTGAACCTCAGTTTCTTTGTCTGTAAAATGGACCTGACACAGACCTCAGAGATGTGACTGTGCTCTGTAAACACAGGGTCTCACAGGATCAGAGTGAACTCTGACTACTTCACAATTTGATGTAGGACCAAGTGTGAGCATTGGTAGTATCCCTTGGGGAAGTGGGAGCAGGTGGCAGGTTTGGAGAGGGGCAGAGGAACAGAAGTGGGCATACAGAGGCCACCTGTGGTTCCTCCCTGACTGTGTGGCTTTGCCTCAGTGAAATGAAATGACCCATTACTTTAAAGTGCCCTACGAATCATCAGGGTGGGGGGTCTTATTATAACGCAGATGCTGATTCAGAATCTGCTTTTTTAACAAGCATGCAGGTGATACTGATACCGCTGGTCCGAGGACAGCACTAGAACAGCGGCTGCATGGCCACCTGCCCTCCCTTTGCATTGACTTGCCTCCCCTCTGATCTTCTGGCCTGAGCACTTGTCTGGCCACTGCTCTGATTAGACAAGTTATGCCAAGGCCCTCCTTTCCCCACCATCAACTGGCAGCCTTTTCCCCCAGGGGGGCTTAATCCATGCAGAGGGAGCCTGGGGAGGACGTGGGGACCTAAGCAATGTAGTCACACAGCTTATAAACCGCAGGGTTTAAAGCCCAAGGCCCAAACTCCTGCCCTACTTCCTCCCCAAATGTAGAAAATTAAACCAAAAAAGAAAAATAAGGAAACAATTCACCTGTAATTCACACCATCCAGAGGCAAATATTACCACTCTGTTCCTATGCATTTGTATACAATCAGATTCTTTACATCCACTATATCAAATATTCTTTAAAGGCAAACTTCTGTGGCTATATAATAATATAGCCCATTTTCTGCTATGCTCTATTTTGCTATCCCACAAGGTTATACATTTAAATTGTGATTTTCCACCATTATAATGAACACTGTCACGAGCATTTTTTTATAGTGTTTGTACTTACTCTTAAATTCCTATTAATAAAAATCAGCTTTTTTTTTTTTTTTTCTTTCATTAGGTCCAGAAATTCTGGAAGGTCAAGAGGCTCTGGTTCTAATCTCAGCCCCGACACCTACTTGCTGTTTCCCTCTGGGGCCGGCCCTAACCCTCTCCAGGATCACTATCTGGAAGGTGCGCCGGCTGAGTCAGACGCCTGACGTCTGGTGGGGGTTGTGTGCCTTTCCTCCGAGGCTCCCGGGCGCATTAGGGAGCAGAGACAGTGGGGCTGAAGTGGTTGCAACATATACTTAAGTCAGAGCATCATACTTATAAACACACTACCCAGAGAACTAGAACATTCTGAAGCAGGCGAGATGGCTCATGCTGACACCCACCACGGGAGCGGGGACCTTTAGCAGGGGATGCTGCGGAAAGGCCCTGCTTGCAGGCGGGCCCTCCTCTCATTAGCCCTGGCTTCTGGCAGCAGAGGTCCGCTTCCCCAGCCTCAGTCTCCCCCATCTTTGCAAAAAGAGGATCGCTCCACCTGTCTTATTTACCCACAGAACCGTGGCTGCAGCTGACGGGCCGAGTCCCAGCCTGTGCCCCGCACCCCGCAGTGGGGTCTCCCGCCCGGCTGCCCGGTGGCAGGGCCCGGGCCACCCATCTCCCCGACTCCCTCCGCTGCATTCCTAGCGCAGGTCTGACAGCTCGCGCCTGCCCGCGGGCCACCCCGCCCGCCGCCCCTCGGTCCGTGAGGCTCGGCGCAGGGGTGGGAAAGGTGGGGCGCTCTCACCGGTCAGGGGGCCCGTGCGCTCCTCCGGCGACGCGGCGTGGAGGCCACGGTGCGGCGCCCGTATTTATAGCGCTCTGCCCGGCCCACACCCCCTTCGGGGCTGGCTGCAAACCTGCGTGACTCACGCCCAAAGAATGCCGGGGAATGCGCCGGAGTTTTCTGGAAGCCGGCGCGGGAGGGGTTGCGGGGATGAGCCGATCCGGCGCAACTCCGGGCGTGGGGCGCGGGGAGGCGCAGCGGCACCGGGAAAGGCCCTGGGCTGCGCCGGGCGCCGCTCCCTGGGGACTCGGAGCCGGAGGACAGCGCCCCTCGAGGGGCGAGCCTGCGTTCCCGTGCGCAGCGGGGCGCCCCTCGCCTCAGCGTTTCGGGGTCCACTGGGCTCCTGGCCGGTCCCAGTCCAAATCAAACCTCACAGTTCTGCAGCCCCGCGGAATGTTCATCTTTCATATTAAACATACGTCACTCCTCCTGTTTCATTGAAGTAGAAAAGTAGAAAAAAAATGAG